GCCCGACATGGGGCCCCCGCCGGGCAGCAGCGGCGCCCGCCGCGGCCGCCAGGTAAGGGCTGCGCACGGCGCGGGCGCGGGGGGCACTTCGGGGGGAGCAGCAAAATTAGCACCCCCCTATAGAGAGATATACGCATACATATCTATCCATACGTGGTTTTTTCCTCTCTCTCGCTTTCTCTCTCAGCTCCGATCCCCGCAGATCGGAGCGGCCGTGAAAAGTTTTAGTTGTTGCTTTGCCGGCGCTGCTTGTGGCGAGACCCGCGAGAAAAAGAGGGAAGAAGTGGGGGGGTCAAAAAGAAAAAAAAAAAAAAAAAAAAGGAGGGGGGCAGCGAGGGAGGAAGGAACTTGGGGGTGCCCGTTTCCGCGGGCGCGCAGTGCGGACGGGTCCCGCGGCCCCTCCACTGAACCCGTGTTTTCGGCAGGCGCGGAGCCGTGGGGCAGGAGATGGTGTTCGGGTCCCGCGGGGCCGCAGCGAGGACCACCACCGTGGCCACCGCGCTGCAGTTACCGCTTGCTGGCGGGGGGGCAGAGGCGTGTGGCCGCGGGGACAGCGGAGGGACGGGGGAGACGTAGGGGACGCGTTTCACAGATGCATCTGTGGAAAGGGAAGGGAGCAGCCCATGTTTTGGGGGGAAGCTGGTGGGGGCGGGATGCCTAAGGGGAGGAGTGGGGCGGGCTGGGGGAGTTCGAGATGGGAGGAGAGGGCGGGTGACATGTCACTGCTGGGGAGAGCAGGCGAGGTGTCCCTGGGCAGTCCCTGGCAGTGCTCTGGGGCCATGCGCTGTGGGGAGGCTGCTGGTGCTTCCTGGAGGGTGCAGATGACAACGGTCTGGGAGAACCCACTCCACTAGGGAAGGGGGAACGAAAAGGGACATCCATGGGGTGATAGAAAGAGCAGCTCCAGGTGGCGGGTGCTGTGGGGGAGGCAGTGGGTAGGGGTGGCTGCCACCTTGCTCTGCTCTCCTACCCTAACGCTGCCTCCGCCCGCTCTCCCCTCAGCACTTGATCCTCTTCCTGCTCTTCGTGGGACCTTTCAACTGCTTCGCCAGCTACAGCCGTGCCACCGAGCTCTTCTACAGCCTCAACGAGGGGCTGCCAGCCGGGGTGCTCATCGGCAGCCTGGCCCGTGATCTGCGGCTGCCCACGGCTGACGGGCAGCACCCCTTGGCCCTGCAGCCTCCGCTGTCCTTCACGCTGGCCTCCCGGGGCCTGGGGGACCAGTACGTGCGGCTGGACAACCGCTCTGGCGAGCTGCACACCTCAGCCTTGGAGATTGACCGGGAAGCTCTGTGTGTGGAGAGCAGTGAGGCCACCATCATCGGGGGAGCAGCCGCTGCCTCTTCCTCCTCGTCACCCTCGCCTGAGTCATGCCTGCTGCTGCTGGACGTGCTGGTACTGCCACAGGAGTACTTCCGCCTGGTGAAGGTGAAGATCGCGATCCGGGATGTCAATGACAACGCGCCACGCTTCCCTGTGCCCCACATCCACCTCTCCGTGCCCGAGAATGCACCAGTGAACACCCGCCTGGCCATTGAGCATCCTGCCTTCGACCCCGACATGGGCACCAATGGGGTCCAGACCTACCGCCTGCGGGATAACTATGGTGTCTTCACCCTAGATGTGGAGGAGAATGAGAGTGGGGAGAGGACCCCCTACTTGATTGTCATGGGGGCTCTGGACAGGGAGGTCAGGGAGGAGTACGTCACGGTTATTGTTGCTGAGGATGGGGGGACTCCTCCACTTGTGGGCAGTGCCACGCTCACCATTGGCATCAGCGACATCAATGACAACTGCCCCCAGTTCAACGACTCTCAGCTCAATGTTACTGTTTATGGGAATTCCACCCTCGGGACACATGTGGCCACTGTGCACGCAACAGACATGGACCTTGGATCCAATGCCCAGATCACCTATTCCTACAGCCAGAAGGTCTCCCAGGCATCCAGAGACTTGTTCCGTCTGGATGAAAGCACAGGAGTTATCACACTCTCCAGTAAGGTTGATGGGGACTCACCAAGGCTCCACAGGCTGATCATCCTGGGCAACGGCCCTGGTTGCATCCCTGCGGTGATCACAGTGCTAGTGACCATCATCAAAGTCATGATGCGGCCACCTGAAGTTGTCCCCCGTTTCATAGCTAATGAAGTGGAGGGAGTGGTGTACTTAAAGGAACTGGAGCCTATCAACACACCAATAGCATTTTTTACCATCAAAGACCCTGATGAAAAATATAAAGTGAATTGCTATTTGGATGGTGATGGGCCTTTCAGACTGTCACCGTACAAGCCATACAACAATGAGTACTTACTGGAGACCACAAAGCCTTTGGACTATGAGACTCAGCAGCTCTATGAAATCTCAGTAGTTGCGTGGAACTCGGAAGGGTTTCATGTCAACAAAATAATCAAAGTACAGGTTCTGGACGACAATGACAACTCACCAGTTTTCTCTCAACAGCTGATAGAATTATCCATTGAGGAGAACAATGTTCCCAATGCTTTCTTGACCAAATTGCATGCTACAGATGCTGACAGTGGAGAAAGAGGAGAAGTGTCCTATTTTTTAGGGCCTGATGCCCCTTCCTATTTTTCTTTAGATAAAACCACAGGAGTTCTTACAGTTTCTACACAATTGGACAGAGAAGAAAAAGAGAAATACAGATATACTGTCAAAGCAATTGATTCTGGATATCCTCCAAGAGAATCAATAGCAACTGTTGCCATTACTGTATTGGATAAAAATGACAATAGTCCAAGATTTATCAACAAGGATTTCAGCTTTTTTGTACCTGAAAACTTCCCGGGATTTGGTGAAATTGGAGTTATCAGTGTCACAGATGCTGACGCAGGGCAGAATGGATGGGTTGCCCTTTCAGTTGTGAATGGAAGTGATATTTTTGTCATAGATACTGGCAAAGGGGTTTTGAGAGCAAAAGTTTCCCTCGACAGGGAGCAGCAAAGCTCCTATGTTCTGTGGATTGAGGCAGTTGATGGTGGTGATCCTGCCCTGTCCTCTACTGCAAAAATAACAATCCTTCTTCTGGACATAAATGACAACCCCCCTCTGGTCTTGTTTCCTCAATCTAATATGTCGTATTTGTTGGTACTTCCTTCTACTCTTCCTGGTTCTCCCATCACTGAGGTCTATGCTGTTGACAAGGACACTGGCATGAATGCAGTGATAGCCTACAGCATCATAGGGAGAAGAGGCCCTCGCCCAGAGTCATTTCGAATTGACCCCAAAACTGGCAATATCACCTTGGAAGAGTCACTGATGCGAAACGACTATGGCCTCTATCGGTTGCTTGTCAAAGTTAGTGATCACGGTTACCCAGAACCCCTCCATTCCACCGTCATGGTGAACCTCTTTGTCAACGACACTGTTAGCAATGAGAGCTACATCGAAAGTTTGTTAAGAAAGGAGCCAGATATCAATATAGAAGAAAAACAACCGCAAATATCCATAGAGCCCGCGCATAAAAAAGTGGAGTCAGCATCCTGCATGCCTACCTTAGTAGCTCTGTCAATCATAAGCTTGGGTTCAATCACCTTAGTAACTGGGATGGGCATTTACATCTGCCTCAGGAAGGGGAAAAAGCGTCACAGAACAGACGAAAACTTGGAAGTACAAATCCCATTAAATGGAAGAATTAGCTTGCACATGCTGGAAAAGAAACCAATGGAGATTTCTAATATTTGATGTTTCCTTGTGGATAACCCAAGCTGATGTCTAACAGATCTGAAATGCCTTGCCGTGGGTTATGTTGGCAGAGGTTGCAGTGAAGGACCACTAATTTATAACTTATAATATTATAATTGTAAATAGCTGTTTACAGTTTTTTAAATTCAAATTCAGTGTACAGCTTTTTTATGAAACCTTAGTACTAACAGCTAGCACCTTGTCTTTAAAACGTGGACATCATTCGCAGCCTCCATAAATCGATCAGGACAGTGATCATTATAAAAAAAGGGAAGGTAAGACAATTCTTTACACTCAAGTTTGAAAAGTCTTAACCACAAGAGGGCATCAGCTGCTCCTGAGCTTGGAACTGGTTGAGGTACAGTCCATGAGATAAACACAGAGTATATTTTAAATATATTTGTTTTAATTAAAAATATACATTGGTATACAGACATTTACACACACACACACAGAAAAAGAAGCGTCTGTCCTGGTGTTATGTACAAGTAAATGAATAAGGACATTAAAATGCACAGTAAGAAAAACAGAATGTTTATTACCTCACAAGTAAAGCTTATACAGTAGGATAGAAAAGGCATTAACAAGAAGTGCAATTCCTAGTGAGCAAGAATGCGAGATAATGTAATAAGAATTTGAACTGCTTTGACATACCATTTTTCATTTGCTCCAGATTTCACCCGCATTATCATTTGCTCCAGCAGTCCACTGGTCATTTTTATGGAAAATTACATTTAATATTTCATTCAGAAAATATAGAAAAAACCCCATGCTCATCCTCATAAACATGGCCAGATGCAAGGAAGCAAGGGAATGGCTAAATCTTTAGTTGTCACAGAAGTGGTTATATTTTTTGTACTTTGAGCAATCTGTCAGTAGTAGTCCATCAGTTTGATTGTGTAATAGATTTTTCATGTGATACTTCTGAATCTGATCTGCCAGATGAAAACAAAAATCATATTATAAGGAATTATAGGACTTAGTTTGTACTGACTATTGCTCCTTTCTGGATTGGTATTTCATGTGAAAGATCTTATTTCTGTCTTTTGGCTACGATTCCTAGCTCTTTTCATTGGCTTTGATTTTGGATTAGATCCAGAATCTAACTTGTAAAACTGGTGGCATATTTTCCTGATAATTTATTCTTTGCTGTATCCTCTGCAACAAAGCAGCAGGTTTATCAGTGATGTATCACTTTCACTTCATTGTAAGAGCTGAGAACTATCTTTTGTATGATGATTACATCAAATTTCTCTGTATAAACAAGATGAAATAGTGTTATGCTTAAAAATGACTATTTTGATTTCTGGCATCATATGTCTGTAATGTACCAAAAGTGTTTATATGTCTGCAAATTAAAGCTATATATTTTCGTAATAACTCACTTTCTGCTAGTATTTGAATTATTAAGATAAATAATTTTTAGTTGTAAGAAATACATATTTTGCTACTGCATGGGTGCTGGCTATTTTATCTGGTAGCTCATAATACTTCCCAAATTAATACGCTATTAACATACACTGTTGTTATTTTTTCCAGCTTAAAATATTTTTTGCTTGTGCACAGTTTGATAGCTGTTTCATGAAAAAAATGAATTCAGCCTGTCAAAGGCTTGTGGTTAATCACCTTTTCTCATTTACTTTTGTATTATTAAACTATGAATTCATTTGTGACAAAGAGACATTGTGTATTATCTCTGAAGGAAAATGACAAATTCTTTGGACCTGGCTTCTCTATTACAGATACACTGTGTTGACACGGTGGAGAAGCCAGCTCCTCGGCATGTTTTTCTTCAGTGAAGAGACAAGTAGCTAAAGGACAGATAGGATTCTTTTCTTTGTTTTTTATTTGAATTAGCAGCCCAGTATCTTTTCAAGATGATGTAAGCAGGAGAAAACCAAAGGCACTTTAAGAAATACAGTAAAAACATAAACCTGATCCCCCTGATCCTGCAGTGACTTTTCGTAGGAAACCAAACAGGTATTTTTGTTCAGGCTTGGCTTGCACCTGTTTGATTAAACAAACTGAGTTTAAAAGTGCAGTTCTAGGATTTATTTATCTATCTATTTATTTATTTATTTGTTTTTCTGTTTGGCTTTCTACAAACACATTCCATAATAAGATACACTGGTACTAGCCTGTTAAAATCAAAGTACAGCTCAGGCTGCATTTCACTTGCAATTTTCCACGCATTCTGAGGTAATCAGTTTGAAATCATCCATTCAGCCTTCCAAGCAGCACTACCTGTGAAAAGGACTTTGCCCTGAATAATAGCTCATAGCAGCAGAGCACATTTTTATCTTCCTGTGAGCAGACTTTAGGTAGATAATGTCACTGAGGATGGCAAAACATGCTTAGTGGCTTGCTATAAAACAACAACCACAAAAAAAAAACACATTTTGTGTTTTACCTATAAAACATGTAGTTGTCAAAAGTAATGAGCATGTTATTTAAGACTGCAGTATTAATCCTAAAAGTGATAAAATAATCAGATACCTGAAATTCATAGCACATGGAAATTTCTGCTCCAGAAGAACATTCGTACTCTTTCGGATGTAAAATGCTTTATACCAGCTACATAGCAAACATTTCTATGACCTTGCTGTTCCCCAAATATCCTTTACAGAAATCTTTTTCATGTGAAAAAACATTTTTAAAGAATATAAGTAAAGTAAATTAGACTCAAATATAAAAGGCCTATTTCATTACCACCTTGTGGCAGTGCACTTGCCAAAATGCATGCAAATCTTGTCGACATTGGTGGTTGGGCTGGCACAAAAATAAATGTCCCATTCATTTACAATATCCATTGAACAATCTTAGCGTGAGTGGGTGTTCTTTGTTCAGTCTCATAAAAAAATGAGATTGCCCTAAACTTTGTGTTGCCAAAAACCTCACAAACTTGCAATGCAAACACATTTTCATGAGAATTAACAAATCAAAAAATAAAGGATAAAAAATGGACTGTGATCCCAGTGGCAGTGGACAGAGAAAATCATCTCACTCTCTTTTTCCGTGTTTTTTTTTTTTTTTTTCACTTTTTAAGGTGCAGGACCCTCTTTGAACTTGTTATTTTGATACAAAATTAAGCAAACACCTGGCAGCATATCAATAAAGGATGAGAACAGAAAGAACTGAACTCTCAAAAGCTCAAAAAGTAATTAATCTTAAGATCTCTCGGGTCTTTTTTTCACTACTAAGGTTCAAATGTGGACTTACACACTGAGTCCACTGAAGGCATTGTAAAAAACCTCCCACTATCTTAGTAGGATGTTGGAAGACAGGCTGAAGTGTTGCAGCAAAACACGGCCTCACTGAAAACAATGACAAAACCCTGGTTCTCCACTGGGGATATCTGTGTTTTGTGTCCCAACTGCTATTTTGAGAAAATCTTATTAAAATAAACAAAAGAATAGCATAAACCAAAACTTGAATTTTACCTCCCAGTTCAGATTAATGAATCCTCACTGAGCAGTGGCCTTCATCACAAAAATGTCTTGTAGTTCGACATAGGTGGAGATAAATAGTGCCTCTACCTTAAAGAAATCAGAAGCTGAATGTGTAGGGTGTTTCTTTTCATGATGCTGATGTATTATCAGAGCTATGCAACATAACTTGTGCTCTGGCTCTCTGGCTGCTACCTTTTCTGCTTTGTGCTTGGCATCAGCTTCTTGTCTTGTAGCCATTAGTTTCCACGAGCATTCCTACATCCTCAAGTACTTACAAGGAAAAGCAAAGCAAAATAGTTAATTGCGACTTAGCTGAAGTAGAAAACTTGGCTTTAAACAGAGCTGAGAAGCTGGAGCTTGAGTAGCTGAACACGTTGACCTCCCTTACCAAAATAATTTAATTTTAAAGAAGCTATTTAGTGCAATTTTAAATGGAAATAATAATGCCCAGCTCTTTCACATCTCATAAAGAATGGTCTTGTACTTTTTTTTGTGAGTAATACTTTCCCTGAGAAGTAAAAATTGCAGATATGAGCTTTATACTGTAATTTAATAGAGTGGGAAATGTTCCGAGGGAGTCATTTGAAGACTCCTAGCTTATTAGCTCCTAACAGGTCATTCAGAGTTACGAAGTTTCAACTGATTTGTAACATACCATAATTTACAATTCTATGCATTACAGCATGTGTAAAAATACTATGCAGGCAGGGTTGCTATTTCTTTTTCATTCTCTGTACCAGTGTGGCCCAGCAGATATGAAGATAAACTGCCACCTGCATGGTGGTATGGAAGGAATCAGAGATTCTGGCTCTCAGGCAAACAAAATGTTAAATAGCCTGTTTTCTCACATTGCAGATGAGAAAAAGATTGGATTTTTTGTCAGCACATATCAATAGACTGCATATCCTATGCTGGATATTTCAGTGTTTTCTGCTAGATTTTCTTTCCAGTTTCATGAAAAAAATGAATTTTGAAGACAAAATCACCTCTCCTAAATATTTCCAGAGACAAACTGGTCTACTACAAACAGGTGTTAAGAAAACATCATTCTGAATGTAGAAATGTGGCATCATTTATGATGCATTCAGTCATATTCCATTGCCTGAAGAAACATATAAAAGCTTAGTATTTGACTTGCAGGTTTTCATGTTGCTACCTAGGGCTGCTGCTAAGTAAAAAGTACTTAGGTGGATTGCATCATACAGTATCATTTAAGCTGTGTTCAAATATAGATGACTTTGCATTCTAGGGTTCAAGTTGGATATTATGCTACTCTCTTCTCTGGAACCTAGCAAGGTGAATTCACTCTTCTATCCTTCTATTGTATTTTCCATTTTCAAACTTCTGACTAAATATGAATCTTCATAGCAACTGAGTATTCTCACCTCTTTAGACAAAATAGGAGCAAGCACAGTGACAGCTTTATTCTTCTAGCCATGTGTAGACATCTAGTACTATGTGAGATATGTTAAGATATCCCATCCTGTCTCCAGCTGATAGCTGGAAAGAGTACTGCTTTTCCATAAAACAGATATCTTCCAGCCCAGTGCGGATGCTTTGGAAATCTTAAGGTGTTTCACT